ATAATATAGAATTGAAGCAAGAAAAACAAATATAAAATAGAGAATGCAAGAAAATGAAAGTTTGCAAAATTCACCTTCCAAGGAAATAATGAACTTTTTAATTTCCAAACTTCATTTTAATCACTCTCAAGTTTCGGAAGTTTGTTCTCAATTCTCAAGATGATATCTCAGTGCATACGGAAAATGGAGGTTTATAAAAACTTCTTTATTTTGGCAATTACTCTCTCTTAATCAAAACTTTCTCTCATTTTTTCAATCTCTTTTCCTCTCCTCAACATACATTCTGATCCTCTCTATATAGACAAGGGTGAAAGACTTAATGGAGAAGATGGTGGGAGACAAAGGATGATGGGGTGACAAGGATCAAAGACTTGACCCTTACATTGGATACTATTTTTTAAAGAGACCAACTCTTTTGACAATGGAGGATGAGTAGGTATACAATATGCAAGACTCAATGGAGCAGGTGAGAGTAAACAAGGTGGAAGACAAATGATGATGGGGTGAAAAGGATCAAAGACTTGACCCTTGCATTGGATACTCTTTTTTTGCAAGAGACAAGCTCTTTTGACTATGGAGGGTCAGTGGACACATAATTCATACCTAAACATATCAGAAATATTTAAAATGGCATGTCCCACACGCATTCAACAAAAATTATGTCGAAACTGCCATTTTCTGGACAAATTAGCCGGCCGACCAATTTCTTGGCTGGCCAGCCAAAAAGTTGGCAAGTCGGCTAAAGTTGGCTGGTCAGCAAATTAATTGATTGGCTAGCCAAAATATTGGCCGTAGCCTAACTATTTTGCATGAAACAGGATTTTTTGACAAAATTATCATCCCATCCTCCTATTTCCACATTGTTCTTTGCTCAATTTTCTAAAAAAATATTTTATTTTGAAGTTTAAAAATGAGCCTCAAAACACTACGGAAATACTCAAAACAAAGTGCAGAAAGAAAGTTTCGAAAAAGAATTTTGAGCAAGACTTAAACACTTGGCCAAAATAGGCTTAGGGTTAGGAATGAAGCATAAATTCCATCTTTCTTACTAAGGATGTTGTGAGAAACACATTCTTGTTTTTATCATCAAGTAATCAAAAGAAAGCGTCCAAGTCTTAAGGCTGGTCAAAATGCAGTGTTCACAACGAGTACCCACTAGACTAAAAGGAAAGTTCCACAAAACGGTTACTAGACCAGTGATGTTGTATGAGACAGAATGTTAGGCAACTAAGAAACAACATGTAAATAAGATGAGTGTTGCTAAGACGATGATACTAAGGTGGATGTGTGACAAGAGTATAAAAGACAGAGTTAGGAATGAGTATATTTGTGAATGGGTAGAAGTAGTACTGATAGAAGATAAATTTAGAGAGAACAGATTGAGATGGCATGATCATATATAATGGAGACCAATAGAGGCAGTGGTGAAAATATGCGAGGCAGTGGTGAAGATATGTGATACAATGGCGGTAGATTGAAGTGTTAAAGGAAGGGGCAGACTTATATTGACGTGAGCTAGTGTAGTAAATAAATATATAAATCTCCTTAATTTGACTAATCAAATGGCCGTTGATAAAGTCGAGTAAAGAAGAAGAATTCATGTAACCGATCCCATTTGATGGGACTTAAGACTTGGTTTGATTTGGTTTGGTTTATATATAACTCACATATCTAATAGAAACTCAAATATCAATATAATAATATATTTTTTATATCATGTGACACCTAAAGTGGTATTTCTTGTTTAATTTTGAACAAAAATTAACTTTAGAAATAAATTAAGAAAAACTTAAAATATGAAGAGCCAAAGTGAAGGGGAAAAAAAATCCAAAATGAGATAATGGCTAAACATAAAGGGATTTGGGGTCAGTGGGCACAACAATGGCTATTGTGCGCCTCATATGGCTCATTTTGGGTTTTATTTTAATAATCTAAATCATTCATTTTGTAGAAAATATCAAGTATAACATACATGTAAAAAATTAAGTTAGTCGGCCATCAATAATAATTTTATCAAATCACATTTGTAAGTAAAAAAATAAATTGTAAATATGATTGTAAGTATAAAATTAAAAACCAATGTAATTAGACGAAAAAGGTTATCGATATTCGATGAATTTGATATTTTTTTATAGATATCGTCTACTCAATATTTTTTTTAAAATAAAGGATTCGAGTTATCAAAATAAAGCCTTGAATAGACATCACGAGGCGCACAATTGTCATTGTTGTGTCTCATGCACAACAATGACTCCATATCTAACATAAAGGGGGGTAAAATGTAATTTACCCAAATATTTTAGATTCATAAACAAGGGTAGGTCTAAATGCACCCTAAATTTAGTTGAGCATCCTAACCCTAATTTTGAATTTTGTTGAACACCCCAAAACATCATATTAATCTCACTTTTACCCCTCAACCACTTGCCGCCAGAATCACCTTTAACGTTGCCTCTGGACATCCACCTCATCTCTTCGCCGAGGCTACACCTTCATTGTTGCCTCCTTCCCAAATCTTTTCTTCTCTTTATTCTTCTTCTTTTTCTTCTCAACATCTTCTTCTTCCTCGTCATCCTCCTCTTCATTCTTCTTCTTATACTTTTCTACCGAAATCCTAGATCTGAAATCTAGGGTTTTAGAAAGGATATTCACCCAAAAAAGGGTTTTAAAAAAAAAAGAAGAATGAAAACGAGGCCACAATAAGATGGGATCACGGCAGATGGGTAGTTGGAGGGATTTCAGGTCTAAAATCTAGGGTTATGAAGTGGAGGAGAAATGGCGACAGCGATGGGGGGAGGTCGTGGTAAGAGAAGAAGGTTTGGGTTAGGCGAGCAGAGAGCTGTAAGGGGTATTTCGTGAGTTGCAAAGATATGGGGCTACCGGTGATGCAGTAGCGATGGAAAATGGCGAGAAAGGGCTCGTACGTGATGCCAAAGGGTAAAGAAGGGATAGGGTGGCACCAGAGAGTTGAGGAAAAGCTAGGTTGTGGCGAGAAGGGTTGGGAAGGAGTTGTCAGATCTAAGAATAGGTGGCCGAAGTTTAGAGTCTCACTAGAGTTGGCCAAAGTTAAGTTTTTGGGCATTTGGATCATGTATCTAATGGATAAAATGATATTTAAAAAAAAAAACAAGGATAAATTACACTGACACACCTGAGGTTTATATTTATTGCAGTTTCTCCCTCACCTTTTGAAAATTACATCTCCCCCTGAGATTTAAAATTTCATTACAGATTCCTCCCCTAAGCAATTTAATTTTTTAAATACCAATTTTGTCCCACTAGGTAAATTACATTGACACCCCTCACATTTTAAAAATTACAATCCCCTCCCTAAGGTTTAAAGTAGCATTACTAATTACCCCATCGGTTAGTATTAGTTGGGAAAAAAGAATTCATTGAAAAAAAATTAATTGGAAAAAAAATTATTTAAAAAAAAGTAAATTGAAAAAAAAATTGTTAGTAAAATTTTTAAATTTCTATTTAAAAACTAACATAAACTCATTTTTTGAATTTACGATTTTTCCTCAAATTTACAAACTAAGACAACCATTTATAAACAAAAAAAATTATCAAACAAGTTTTTATGACGATTTTTAAATTTTTGTAAATATAAATTGAAAACTGAAAATGAAATGGTTCTAAATAGGTTTCAGATGGTAAAAATGTCGTAAAATTAACAAATAATTAAATAAGTTACCAACGTAAAAAATGACTTATCAAAAGATTTTTAGGCTATGTATGGTTTGATTTTTAGAAAAAAAAAATTTAATTAAAAATTAATCTGGTTAAGAAATAAAAATAAAAAATAATTATCATTTTTATATAATTTTTATCTTTCAAGTGGTTAGAAATATTTTTTTACAAATTAAATTGAAACATCTATACGTATGTATATAACTTGCCCAAAAGTTAAAATGATAATTATTTTTTACCCTTAAATGATAATTATTTTTTATTTTTATTTTGTAACCAAATTAATTTAGAATTTTTTAAAAAAAATTCTAAAAATCAAACCATACATAGCCTAAGAATCTTTTGATAAGTCATTTCTTACATTGGTAACTTATTTAATTATTTGTTAATTTTACGATATTTTTACCATCTGAAACCTATTTGGTAACCATTTCGTTTTCAGTTTTCAATTTATATTTACAAAAATTTTAAAAAAATGTCATAAAAACTTATTTGATAATTTTTTTGATTTATAAATGGTTGTCTTAGTTTGTAAATTTGAGGAAAAAACGTAAATTCAAAAAATGAGTTTACGTTAGTTTTTAAACAAAAATTTAAAAATTTTACTGAAAAAAAAAATTTCAATTAATTTTTTTTTCCAATTAATTTTTTTTTTCAATGAATTTTTTTTCCAACTAATCCTAACCGAGAGGGCAATTGGTAATACTACTTTAAACCTTAGGGAGAGGATTGTAATTCCTAAAATGTGAGGGGTGTCAATGTAATTTACCTAATGAGGGAAAAATTGGTATTTAAAAAAATTAAATTGCTGAATGGGGAATTTGTAATGAAACTTTAAACCTGAAGAAGGGAGATGTAATTTTCAAAAGGTAAGGAAAAAATTGTAATAAATATAAACTTTAGGGGGTGTCAATGTAATTTACCCAAAAAAACAAAAACAAAAACTAAAAATTGAAATGTCCAACCAAACAATTGGGGTGCATTTAGAGACACCCCCATATAGACAAAGGTAAAATTCTATTTGTTAATAAATAAGATTATTGGTATAATTAAACAATATTATTTTACATTTTACATTGCAAAACAAATTAGGGGAAAAGGTGATCAGTGTCTAACGGTAATTTTTTTCGTACCCGCATATCACAAACAAACGGCTACCAAAGTGCGCTTTGCACAGTGAGAAGCACCTTGTAAGCCGTCAGATCATGCGAGAGAGATCCAACGGTGGCAGTTTGAAACGAACAATGTGACCGTTGCTGGAGAGCGGCGTCACTTAGCAGATTAAAAGGGAATGATCGACCTTTAAACCCATCCTCACATCTCATTCCATAAACCGATTTTGAGAAAGAAAACAGAGCAAAAAAACAAGAACACAACCACGACGGAGAGAGAGAGAGATATTGATCGAACAGTTGTTTTGGGTTCGGAGCGGTGGCGACCGAAAACCCAGAACAAGAGACGATAGGTCGTCTCCAATCGTTTTTATCGTCTTTGTTGGCGAGTCTTGGAGGGGTTTTTGGCCATAACGAAGAAGAATCTGAATCAGAGTCAGACATGGGTTCAAGAGCTGTTGTTCCAGACCAACAACCCAGAGGTATGTTTCATTGATTTTCTTTTGTTTTGATTCTTTCTGTGTGATGTTCATCTCTCATCTTTTCTGGGTTTTGTTAATAATGATTGATCTGTTAATAATAATCCTTGTGCTTTGGAATTTTGTGATTCGTGTTTCTTGAAACTGAAAGTTGATTTTCTTTTTACCTATTGTGTGAGTTTGCCAAGAAAGAAATTTTCTTTTTTCTGAAATTTCTGTTGGATGCATCACATTTGGGCTTATGGATGAATTTCTTTGCGTGGGTCTCATTTCTTCTTCTTTTTGTTCTTAGTCTTACAATTTAATTTGTAATATTCTTTAGGGAGAGGAGGTAAGCAGAAGAATGGACAAGCAGAAGGAAGAAACCGGCGCGTTCTTAGAGATATTGGAAACCTTGTACCTGTTCCTACTGTAGAAGAGAAGCCCCAAAATCAGATCTCTCGCCCGGTTACAAGGTCAACTCTCTCTCTCTCCCTCCCTCTCTAATAAATCTGAGAACACATAAATCGGTTACAGAACTGAACACAAAATGCCTATGGATGGACAAGATTTCAAAAACTGTGTCACACTATCAAATCCTGTAAAATGTATCCATTCATGTTTAATTTCTGTGTTCATAGCGGAATTACTCTCTCTCTCTAACAACATGGTTGCCTTTCAGGAGTTTGTGTGTACAACCAGCAGCAGCAGCAGAGAAAAAGAACAAGGTATTAAATTTATAATGTGTTAAATATATATCATAGTCCCATTAAACCAGCACGTTGATTTTATTATGTTATCTGCAGAAACCACTTGCAGAAGTTGTTAATGGTGGAGGTGCAGTAAAAGCAGCAGCTGCTGCACACAAGAAGCATTACGATCCTCCAAAACCAGAGACGGTAATTGTCATAAGCTCTGATGAGGAATTGGAGTCCGAGGAGAAAAAAAAGCCTGTCGCTGTCATTGCAAGAAAGTCGCGAGTTGGGTCTTCTAGGACCATGACTTCGATCCTCACTGCTCGAAGCAAGGTTGTTAGTGTCGACTTCTCTCAATTTCAATTTCAATTTCATCATCAATTTTTTCCCCTCTGTACATATCATTCCTTGTTACTTAATTTGATCCACCTCAGGCGTTGTGTGGACCCACCACGAAACCGAAGGTTCCAATAGCAGACATTGATGCAGCAGATGTTGATAATGAATTGGCAGTTGTGGAGTATGTTGAGGACATCTACAAGTTCTACAAGCTAACAGAGGTACTATTTTGGCCTTTTTTTTCTTTTTTTCTTTTTTTACCTTCTCTGTCTATCGACATGTTTTGCTCATTAATGGGAATTTATGATGGTAGGGCGAGAGTCGAGTTCACGATTACATGGATTCACAGCCTGAAATCAATTCAAAGATGAGATCAATTCTCATAGACTGGTTGACAGAGGTTCACAGAAAGTTTGAACTAATGCCTGAGACCCTTTACCTCACAATTAACATAGTTGATCGGTACCTTTCAATGAATGCTGTCCCAAGGAGGGAGCTTCAGTTGGTCGGCATTAGTTCAATGCTAATTGCTTGCAAGTACGAAGAAATTTGGGCACCAGAGGTAATTAGTGTTCTGTTCTCATCATTTAGAACCATGTCTGATCTAAAAATGTGTTTAGTTTCACTGAAATGTAATAATCTTCTGTGCCTTTTGGGAATTTTGTAGGTTAGTGACTTCATTGTCATATCGGACAATGCTTACGTTAGAGAACAGATTCTTATCATGGAGAAGGCGATTTTGGGAAAGCTAGAATGGTATTTAACCGTTCCTACGCCCTATGTCTTCCTCGTTCGCTTTATCAAAGCTTCTGTTCCATCCAATGATCATCGTGAGGTATACATTGATTTTTATTTAATTTCTTGATTTTTATAAAAATAAAAAATAAAATTTGGGAAACAATTTGGTTGCTTAATTTATATTTTTTGTATGATAATATTAGGAGATGGAGAATATGGTGTTTTTCCTGGCTGAACTTGGTCTGATGCACTACCCAACCATCATATTGTACTGCCCGTCAATGATTGCTGCTTCGGCTGTTTACGCTGCACGGTGCACCCTCAACAGTAACCCTCTCTGGACCGAAACTCTGAAGCACCACACCGGTTACTCTGAAGATCAATTGGGGTAAGCACCGCACCGGACACAGAATTGTTTCACTCAAATTGCTTCACTTATGTTTTTCTATGATTGGTTGTGTACTAACTAAAGTAACATAATATATGATGTGTCTTTTTTTTGTATTTTTTCCATGTAATGACAGGGATTGTGCAAAGATGTTGGCAAGGTTTCACTCAGATGGAGGTGGTGTAGAGAAAAGTAAGCTAAAGGCAGTGTACAAGAAATTCTCAAGTCCAGACAGAAGCTCTGTTGCTCTCTTTCCACCAGCAAGGAGTCTTCTTCTTGTGCTTTAAAGAAAGTCTCTGATTTGGCACTTCCAAATGGGATGATGGAGTGGTATAGTATTAGTAGTAGGAGTTTGTTGAATTTGAGATTAGTATTAGTAAGTAGCAGGAGTTTGATGAATTTGAGATCATTGTGGGCTGTTATGATCTCGTCTATCATAGCTAATATATGTTAATAGTTGAGTGATTTGCTTTTGAAATTTTTGATGAGGTGTTTCATTATTATGATTTGATTGATTGATTCACTTTCTGGTAAAATCATCATTATTATGTAACGACAAAATAGCATTTCTTCATCTTATGAAATGAAATGAAAATGGTGTGTGATTACTATGCATGTTTCACTGTTTTCTTTTTCTTTTTAATTTAATGAATTTAGTTGTGTGATTTTAGGGACACAAGAAATGTTCACCCAGCCCATTGACAAATGTTGAGTTATTTACTAAATTTGAGGTATTTCAAGAAACTTAGTTTTCATTATGTTTGCCAAAAAATAATAATAATAATAATAAAGAGTTCTACATATTAGTTGAAAGCCGTGGTTTTAAGAAATAAATTCAAAATACGACTATGACGAGTGCTACAATGTTTAACAATTTCACAAAAGGGGATTTGAAAATTAAAAGTTCAAAATTGCTTAAAGGAAATATATATTTTAAATGTGTTTGAGAAAAAAACTTGAAAAATGTCCATCTATCTTATTTCTTTTTTCACACAATCTCTCCAATCTTGGATTGATTCAATCAATTTCTTTCATATTTTACTAATATAAAAAAGTGATTAAAATTGACTGAAATCAATTTTCATTTTTTTTTTCTCTCCAAATCATTCAATTCAAACAGGTTAGGAAGTCAAAATCAAGCACCGTCTAATAAAAAGTGAGATAGTGAGCTTTTTTCATCTTTTTTCTTTTCCTTTTTCTTTTTCTTTTTCTTTTTTCGCTTTTCTTTTTTTTTTTGGAACCAAGATAGGGAGCTTTTGTTAGAGTGAATTTTGAAGATTAATCTCTTGAAAAAATTAAGACGAAACCTCGTAACATTAAAAAAACATCTATAAAAGAATCTATAAATATTAAAAAAACATTAAGGTATCACATTAAAAAAAAACATCTATAAAAGATTTAATCTCTTTTCTTTTTTTCTTTTCTTTTTCTTCTCATAACATTAAAAAAGCATCTATAAAACTTAAATGAGAAAAATCCTTATCAAATAAATAGTTTAAATATTGGAGTAGGGCTGATTTTAAGAATCTCTCAGCAAAGAACTGAGATTTAAAAGGTATCACAAGTGTACCATGACCTGTTTCCATAGAAGTGGAAGCCACCTCCAAATCTTTAGGAATTGTAGCGCATGAGCATATTCGACCAACAATAATCCACATATAACAGAAAACTGTAAGTGGAACAAAGCAGGTCAGAAAAATGGGGATCCATTGTGGCTTCAAGAATCAATGGTCCCCTGCCATTTCTCACCATCAAAGCACACGAGTTCCCAACAATACCTTATGACTGCACAGAGACCGGAGGCTTTTCCCATATTAAGCCTATTTTGTATCTTAATTCCCAAATTAAGCTTAGTTTGGACGGAATTCCCAAACTAGGCTAAAGCGCTATTACAAATCGCGCTTTCACTGTTTAGAGCCCAAAATGTGATGAATAGTGAAAGTGCTATTGCAAACCACGCTTAATTAAAAGCGTGGTTGCAAATCACGCTTTTAACATAAAAAAATTTTCTGAAGAAACCACGCTTTCACTGTGCATCTCGTTTATGTTTTTTGAAGAAAGCGCGGTTCCAAACTACGCTTTCACTGTGTATATAATTTTTTTTTCCTGAAGAAAACGTGATTGTGAATCACGCTTTCACTATTCATATAATTTTGTTAAGAAAACGTGATTCACAATCACGCTTTCACTGTTCATTAATGAAAGCGTGGATTGGAACCACGCTTTTACAACTTATATAAAACACGGAAAAGCCCTCATTGCAATCACGTTTTTACACTTATTTCGATCTCCTCCCTCTCAGACGACTCCTCTGCTTGCTCGAGCTCTCCCTCTGCTCTCTGATTCGCACTCTCGCTCTCCCTTTCCCTCTGCTCTCAGACTCTCACTCTGCTCTCTCTCTCTCTATCCGTGGTATGGCATCTATCTCTCTGTGTCTCATTTCAATTTTATGTGTTTATTGTGTTTGTGAATGTGTGGTTCTGAATTTGAAATTAGAAATTAGGGTTATGAAATTATAAATGTGTTAGGGTTTTGAATTATGAAATGTGTGGTTAAATGTGTTAGGGTTTGGAATTATGAAATGTGTTAGGGTTTTAAATGTGTGGTTATGAAATTATGAAATCATAAAATGTTAGGGTTTTGAATTGTGAAATCAGAAATTATGATTAGGTTGGTTTATTGTTAATGTTTGGAACAAAATGAAATTATAATTGTGTTAGGGTTTTGAATTGTTAATGTTTGGAATTAGGGTTTTGAATTGTAAAATGTTAGGGTTTAGGATTATGCTCTATGGTTTTCAGGAATTTTTTTTAATTAAAAATAAAATTATGTGACTTAAAATTCATATAATTCAGAATTGTTAATGTTTGGAATTAGGGTTTTCGATTTGTTGAAATTATTGTATATTTTTTGAAATTAGGGTTTGAAATTTTGTATTGTGAATAAACCAACCTATATTTGTTGAATTGGAAATTTTATAAAATTGCTTGTTAATAAAAGGAATTTTTTTTAATTAAGAATAAAATTATGCGAATTGAAATTCATATAATTCAGAATTGTTAATGTCATATTATGAAATTCATATAATTGAGAATTGAGAATTGAAATTCATATTATGAAATTCATGAATTGAGAATTAAGGTGGTCTGGCAATTTCAATTCGAGATCCACATGTTTACATATATATGATCATTTTGTTCTAGAAAATAAGACTGTAAACTGTATGATTGAATTCAAAATCTGAAAATTGAAATGTATCTGAAAAATTCAAAATTTGAGAGTTTTGATAATAAAAAAAAAAGATCATGTTCTCATAAAGTCAATTTTAAAAAAAGAAATCATGTTCTCTTAAAGTCAATTTTATTCAGTATTTTACCTTTATTTAGTGTTTAGAAATTGGATTAAAATCAAGACTAAAATAGTCAATTTATTATTCTCAAACTAATTAAGGGATTAGTGTGGGTGATATATTCCCTTTTGAATGAATTATTTTGCATTTGATTTTGGTCTAATCTCTTAATAGATATTATCCGTTGCACTTAATTCATGCATTGTGTAAAATTAAAGGATAAAGTTGATACAATTAGAGCTTCAAGAATCACATTGATTTTAGACAAGAAGCAAACTGCACGACTAGGGATTCAATTTGCCTTTTATTACAAATGAAAATCATCTACATTTTTTTTAGGAGAAAGATCCGCATCAAACCCAAAAAATTTATACAAATTTTGTCGGTATACATCGTTGCTCTATTAATTTTTTGTTTTTAAATTTAATCTTCAATATCAAATTTTCTTTTTGTTTTTCTTAAATTTTAAGGAAGAAGTCCTAATAATTGGGCTAATTACTTAAAAGTCCTATTGGGAATGTTCATGTTCCATTAAGTTCTCTTTCTTTTTTGTTAACCCATAAAATCTTATTTTAAAAATATTTATTTATATAAAACTCATCTCTTTATTAAAAGAAGAAGGAATTGTGTCAATTCCTTGAGCGTTAGTAGAAAATTATTAGGTGTTACAAGTGCACCACATGACAATGTAATCCACTAATCACCAAGCATTATACCTTATGCCCTAATACAAAATTGTAGGCCCCACCCTCCCCATCAATCATAAATATTTTGAAAATCACCTAACCATGCCTTAAAAGTACTAGATTTTTTCTCTTATTCAAATAGTATTGCTGATGTGGAATTTTACTTTCTTTTTTTTTTTCAAAACTTACAAATTTCATAATTTTTATTTTACACATTTATTTTTAATAAAATATATATTTTTGGAGTCTACACAATGAGATTTATCAAACATGACCAATATTGAATATAAAATTTCATAGAATCTGAAAAATTCAAAAGTTGAGAGATTTGAAAAAAAAAAGAAAAAAGAATTTAGTGCATAACTGCCCACATAACTGCTATAGGGGTATTTTTGAAAAATCCAAAATATGAGATATAAACACTCAGAGAAGACTTCTCTTTATAATAGTACTAGATATATATACACCTTTATTCAGTATTTCACTTGGTAATATCAAGGTGGGGTTGTATACTTGAATCTGCCGTCTATTATTTGACTATACTATTTTACCCTCTAGGTGTATTTATTCAATTCAAGACATTGTGCATATTTAATAAAGGGCAAATTTTACTTCAATGTGCATGTGCAAACTACCCATATAATTTGGAAATAACTATAATGTTCTGGTTTGTGGACTAAATGAAGTATACCGTCAGACGTTCAATCCAAATTCACATCAAGTGTGAAACATGTGCTAGGTCATAAGGGGGTTATTTTCTTATTTTCAAATATCAAAGGTAAATCACACATGGAGTAAAGCAAAGGGAGTTAAAGTCAATTTTATCTTTCAAAAAAATGACAAATATGAATTTCATAATATGAATTTCAAATAAAAATACTAAGTGTATAGAAAGATTAACGTTTTTTCCTAAGTTAAATTTCATGAAACTAATCTTTACTAAATGAAATTATTCAAAAAAAATATATTTAATTTTGACTCAATGGTCTATCATCCTTGCTCTTATGCCTTTAAGACAACAATTCTATCCTATATTTTTTTTTTTCTTCACATAAATGAATTAAAGAGAAGCATCAAAAGAGGTTTAAGGATTCAATCGTGGATTGCTAGAGGTTGGAGATCTCTCTTTAATGAGTTTTATTTTTCTATACCCGCTTTGAATACTGAAATATGAATTTTGTTACTAAAACTGTATAATTCTAAGTTACAATTCTTCGAGTTATATGAAGTTCTTGAAATTTCGTCAGGGGAAACTCCCTTCTATTTTCTATTTTACCATATTTGTGGAATATTGATTTCTAGGTTTAAGATATGCACATTGATGTAGTAGTTGTTGACAAATTGCCTTTTGTTTTTTAGATTTTGAGTTGTTTGGAAATTGTAATCAAATTTCAATACCAGAGCTTGCATCATGAATTGATTTTTACAAGAAAAAAATAATATTGAAAGGGTACTCTAGAGCTGTTTTGTAATACCAAAAAAATTTATTTTCAAAAGCGAA